CGGAAGGAAGGGCGCCCTGAACCCGTGAAAGGAGATTCGGGCCCCGTCGAAACGAAGACAAAGAAAGGCTTCCAGTCTTTGGTTGACCCCTTCTTATCACTAGCAAAGAGTTTACTGGACCTCTGGGAAAGACTGGCATAGGACGCCCAATCTTTATGGCCCTTGGTCAGTTTGAAGGTGAATATGAAATGGTCCAAGGTCGGCTTCACCCCTACATCTTTGCACCGGACCAGGTAACCGGCGATGTACCGGTGAGAGTTGGGGACCAGTTGGCACGGGAGAAGGTCCACCACGTTGAGGAATTCGATCAACAACGGGTGGAGTGGGAAGCGCAGCCCCTTCTTCAAAGACGCCAGATGGACCGTGAAGAACCCCGACGGTGCGTCTAGAGCAGTTTGAGTACTGGTAGGTCTCATGACCTCGATGGAGGGTCCAACCATGTCAGTGGCATCGGCGAACCCCCGGTCAGTAATTTGACAATGGCACAACGCCATGATGTTTTCGTCCAATTCAACCCTTGAGCCCTCATCTACCGGAGTTGAGGAAGGGTATTGCTTCCTCAATCGACGCCGTTTGTGGCCAGGCACGGCCGACGGCGACGGCCGGGGTGATGGAGTGTGGCCGGGGTTACGGTCAGAGGCCGATTGACCGGCTTGGCGAGAATTGGACGATGGGGTAGCCGAATCGGAATCTGAGACAATCATGGCGGCGAGAGAAGGAACTGACTTGGACAGGAAGAAGAACGAGTCGGGTGAGCAGCGGAGTTGCAGACGAATGGTAGTGAAGAAGGCGAAAGAAAGAGATGGCGTCCAGCGGCGGTTTTTAACTGACAACAGGAAGGCGAATCGGCAGGCCATGATTACTTATTTGTGGAGATCGTGCCCAAGTGTCGTGCGGAACCCAAGGAACGGCCCGGATCCCCGCTGGAGCGTCCACGTGGACTTTGCAAACTCCCCACTCCTCCGTTTGGCCCAGCAGAGGACTGAGGAGTTGGGGGGCTTATGATGGGCTGATATCCAGAGGACGGCCCAAATGAACCATTTAAACAGCTTCGGGTCAAACACCTGTGAAATACTCAAGCTGGGCCGGCCCAAGGAGCTGGGCCTAGTTAACCTCAGGCCAAGCGCAGCTGGCAGAGTCAATCCGGAGAAGGAGACGGAGCTGATTGGCCGTTACGGAGCCGGGAAAAGGGGATCGCGCCCTTGGCGGGATAGACTCCATCGGTTATGCATTACCTTAATTGTTTAGAGCTCATGTATAAATAGAGGGGACCCGAAAGGGGAGAACTCAAGCTAAATCAAGCTAGTAATACACATCCAATTCTCGAATTCTTGTTCTTAATTTTGTTCTTACGATCCGCTCTGTAAACCGGATCATTCGGTGTATTTATTGTCCATCACCTTCTTTAGTAACAAACAGTTAAACATCTTATTATCAATTTCAGATTTGAACATGATTTGATGTATGATGCTCTATTTTGGTTAAATGTTCTCATTAAATAAGTTGTCTCATCTTTTCAGCTATATTCCCCTACATTTTTTATGTTCGAAATTTCTATAAATTAAAGTTGGTGCTTCATAATCACAATGTAAGTATTTTATTCTCAGTTACTCCTCTCATATTCCTTATTCTTGCATTTGATTCGTCCCAACTATTTTTCATAAATAAATCTTCAATCTTTAGTTGTTAAAATTATTTCAGTATCAATAAATCTACTTTTTTTCTTTTAGGAGAAAGGTGGATTTGCTGAGAGTTACATCGAAGTAAGTGCCGTACTTTTTGAGTTTTCCAAATGCTTACATTATATTAAACATTCAATATTTGAACCAGGCAATGAATTAGAATCGAGATTATGGATCTCTTAATACATGTCATTGATGTTCATGCACAAAACTATTATATCTTTGAATCGAATCTATTTGTAAAGTTTGTTCTATCTAGGGCCTAAACAAATGTGTTTTCCCTAGATATGAGTGGTATGTTTTTTTTCTTTTTTTTAGGAGTTAAATTATAATGCCCACCCTAAAATGCCCTTCAACCCACGCCACCCTATTTTTCCTCCTTTTTAAGTGATAATGATTAGCAATTAACTCCCCATCATTTTAGTTAACTATTACCCTATTTTTTAACACACCATTAAATCCATTTGTATGGCTCTTCCCTCGTCTCTCTGCCGCATCTCGCCTCTCCTATCCGTCTCTCACAGTCTTCCCCCTTTCTCCTCACAATATGTTTTCTTCATTATTGGTTTTTGTATCCAATTTTGCAACAGCCACACCTGCGAGCATCCACATTCTCTTGCAGTTTGATGGCGAATGAGACAGTAATATAATGGTGTTTTCTTTTACACTCATGCATATGAGATTGACATTCCCATTCACGCCCCCCATACCAAGACTTGCTGGAGATGATTCGTAATACAGTTCTGTCTTCTTATGGAAATTCTGTTTTTATAATTTTGTATATGTCTAATTCATGCTCAAGTCATGTCGCCATTGACGATGATGTGAGCCTTCATGCCTACCTTCGTTTGAAGAGCACCTATCCGTTGATGCGCGACTTCCCTTTGTGCGTTCAATTATGTCATTTTGCAGAAAGGGGTGTTTCAAATGGAGGGTCAGTTCCCATTGAATTTCCACATATTTTACTTGGTTATCATTCAAAGTTAAACTCAAATGCCCAAGAAGAAACTGATTCGAACGCATCGGTTCGTGATGTTCTACAACAGGAAACCATGGAAACTCTTTGTGAAGATAATATATCATCTCATTATGCGTTGTCTAAAGAGCCTTTATTTGACACATATCATGGCGATGAGTCTTTAGCGCGTAATGACCATAACGGGGACTTGGTTTGCTGGGATTCTCTTGACTCCAACCCCTCTCGTTATGTGATGTCCCAGCACGATATTGACTCATTGAAGGAGATGCGCGTTACTTCTCGGTTTGATCCAACCAGGATAGTCGTACGTTGATGCCATATATGCTAGCAAAATGGACCTCGATTTTCATTTAAAGATGCTAGCAATTTCCAACTGTTTCCAGTATCGGACCGAACCAGTATTTTCCATGTTGTGTGTGTGGACTTCCCTCGAAACCAGTAACCTTCATGGATGAGTTTTAATGTTTATTTTCTTTGCAATATCTTGAGATTAACCGATAAAATTCATCCATAAAACTTATTAGTTTTCATTTTAGGTTCCACCAGGAAGACTAATAATTGAGAGAAGAATAATCATTTTAGTTTTGGGTTTATAGCTTCAAACTCAGCGACGAGTTTGGGAAAGAGTACATGAGGAGGGAAGAAACTTAATTGAGGAGAGAGAAAAGTATGAATATACAATTTTATCCATTTTTAACAAAAAACCTTAACAAAGGATAATTCGTAAAAAATGATATAATAATTGGGAACTAAAGTAGTAATATTTGATATGTAGGGACTAAATGTGTAAAACGACATATAACTGGGGACCTTATATGAAATTTACTCTTTTGAAAACTTCAAAAAATGAGGAATAAAATCAGAAACAAAATAAAACAAAAAATAGAAATGAATATCCTTTTTGGACATCTCAATTCTAAGAACGTTTTTAGGCATTCTGAAAATTCTTTTTTGTATAAAACTCTTTTTTGCATGTTTCATTTTTCCCATTTCATTTTTCCATATTTTATTTTTATTTTTTATTTAGGTTTTTCTTTTTGAACTTACCAAAAAAAAATATTCTAGAAAACAAAAAGTAAAAGTATTTAATTTGAAATAGATGGAGTTGAATTTTTGTTTATGAACAAAAAAAGTTGAATGACGAGGAGGGCTAGATTTATTTGGTCTGAAAAATTTTGGGAGATGGCCTACCGTTTTCAACACGATTTATAAAAAAAACTGCCAATAAACTCTCATCATGCGCGGGGCATTGTAAAAGACGGGCGGCGGCGGTTTCTGTTCTTGTCGTGGTTGGGTTCCAAAAGAGACGATCCAGTAGTTTCATTCAAATCAATGGCTCCTCCTCCTCCTCCTCCCATGGAAAACCAGAGGGACAGACTGAGCAACTTACCGGACTCTCTAATCCACACTATCCTCTCCCTCCTCGACACCAAATCCGCCGTCCGTACTTTCCTCCTGTCCAAGAAATGGACCCACCACTGGAAATCCTCCCTCCACACCCTCCGCCTCTCCTCCCCTTCCTTCCGCACCAAAAACTCCTTCAAGAGATTCGTCGAATTCGTCCTCGCCAATCGCGACCCCTCCGCCCCTCTCCGCGCCCTAATTCTCTTCAACGAGTCCCGAGACAAGTCCCTCGCCGACCGAATTCTCCGCTACGCCGTCGCCCACTCCGTCCGGGAAATCGACGTCTTCCGCCACTTGGAGCCCAACGAACTGGAGCAGATCCTCGGCTGCAAGTCTCTGCGGAGAATCGTCTTCCACAGCATCGAAATCGGGTGTTCCGACTTCTCCGGATGCGCGGATCTGGGAGATCTGTCCCTCACCGGGTGCACATTCTTTCCGGGTCGGGTCACGGTGGGGAATATGAAGAATCTGACCATAATCCACACTCATTTCCCCTACCACGAATACGGGGACAACGATTTCAAAATATTCTCCCAGAGTTTATCCACCTTGACATTCGGGGGGAAGTGCTCGAGCTTTGCCATGATTCGTCTCAGATCGCCATGCCCGGTGGTTCTTCTGGACAAGATTGACCTTCGTCTGATTCAAATATGCTCCGAGGAATCCGACTTCCCGGTCGCCGTGAAGACTCTGCGGTGGATGATCTTCCATTCGAAATCACTCGTCCTTGAGATGAAGGAGAAGAAGAAAGAGTTTAGGGTGAAAACAGAGTTAGTGGGAGATAAAGAAGTACGCCTCGCTGTCTTCAATGTGACCACTGCTGAAACTGAGTTCTTCTGGAAAGCGGCGGATGAAAACTTTGAACCCTTTTTGTCCACTTTTACTCAGGTATCAATCTCTTATAAAAATGCTACTGCCTTTAGTTCCAAAAAAAATTACGGAGTACATTTTATTTTTTGTGTATCTCATAAAATATTTTATATCGTCTCAAACGCTAAAAAAACTTTCAAAACAACTTCTATCCACAATAAAGGGTTAGGGGCTGTTTGTTTCAGCCTCTTAATGGTTCAGATGTCTGAATGATTCAGCACTTAATGGTTCAGACTGTTTGTTTCAGCCTCTTAATGGTTCAGATGTCTGAATGGTTAAGAGATTTGCCTCTGAATGTTTAAGTATTATACAGAGTCTGAATGGTTAAGAGCTGTTATCTGAATTGATCAGACATTTGCCTCTGAATAGTTAAACAATATACTACTGTAGCTCTTAATGGTTCAGACTTCTTACTGGTTCAGCACTTAATGATTCAGATCTCTTACTGGTTCAGCACTTACTTATTCAGAAGTTGCCAAACAGCCCCTTAATGTGGTAATTTTCAAACAATTTAGATGTGGATAGAAATATTTTTTAGGATGCCCCAAAAAATTGAAACGTAACCTTTTTTTGGAAGGAGAGAGTATTTTAACTCTAATATTTGAACTCCAAAATTTAACTTCAGTCACGTAATTTTCGAACTCCAAAATATAATCATTTTATATTGAATATTGCACGTAATTTTTTATATATGTTTGTACGGTTAGGCTATGGTTCGTTCCCCTTCCCCTGCTTCTGATTCCCCTGTCCCACGACTAAGGAAGACTTTCGGTCCTTTTTTTCTCTATTTGAGTTTAAGCACGAAGTACTATGCTATGAAGTAGGGAGTATTTTAAACCCAACAAATTGCTTCAAAAGAAACTTTCTGCAATTAAAGTTTTGTTCTATTACCCTATCTTTGGTCCAACGAGTTTGTACGGAAAAAGAAAGAAAAATTGAGAGAGAAAACAACACCTCTTATTTGGTTATGGAGGAAAAAGAAAGAAAAAGAAAAAATGTAGGCAAAAGAAAATGGAAGAAGAAAATGCATTAAGAAGAAAACTGATTTTCTTTCAGTTTTGGAGGGAAGAGCAGAGAATTCCAGAAACATGTTCGTTTTCCAAGTAACTCTTAACTTTCAATCCCAATATGCAAGATCTATTTTTAATCCTAAAATAGGAATTTGCATTATTATGATAATAGAAATCACCCTAAATAAGACTAAAACATCGAGAAAAGTACCAAAATAGAATTTTCATGTTTTTTTCCCGAAATAGGATTTCTCATTGTGGTAATGCAGTTGTAATATGGCACTGTACATGTGCACATTACTATACTTTTTGGTAATGTACATGACCATGTTTGATAATGTAAATGCATTTTAAGTCCTATTTCGGGAATAAAAACATGGAAGTCCTATTTTGATAAATTTCCAATGTTTTAATCCTACTTTGGTCTTTCTCCCTTATGATAATGTGAGAGTGCATCTATTGACATTTCCTAATACTTTTTGATATTATATATTGACATTATTGGTATTGTAATTCCTATTTTGGCAACAAAAGGGCAATGCTAGGAGTACACCAACATGGAGTACCCTATTTGTAAACCAAGCTAACACAAACACATAATGTCTATGCACAAATGTGGTATCCCATATTGGTTTAGTGCACAAATATGGTATCCCATATGTCTGTGTCTTTGTTAGCTTAGTGTACAAATGTGGTATCCCATATTGGTTTACTCTTAGGTTAAGAGTCTAGCAAGAAAATTTGCATGTATGCAAACCCAATTATTTCTTCATTTAACGGGCGAATTCTGAAAATTAAATGCTTCACTTACTCGTTAATCATGTTTGGCGTATAATATACGGAGTATTAAAATTGCTTGTCTCACTTAAACTTAATTGTAGTTCATTTAGCAATTACTACTACGTATTGTATAATTTTTGTGATGGGCCGATATCCGACGGGCGGCCCAAATGAATCATTTAAACAACGTGGGTCAAGCGCTTGGAGAATGCTCAGGTTTGGGCCGGCCCATGGAGTTCCCATGGAGTTAAGCCCGGCCAATTCCAGTCCAAGAACGGTTGGCAGAGTCAATTCAGAGAAGGAGACGGAACGAAATGACGGAGATGAAGCCGGAAAAAGAGGATCGCGCCATTGACGGGATAGACTCCCTTGATTATGTATTACCTTAACTGCCTAATACCCATGTATAAATAGAGAGGGCCGAAAAGGGGAAAAACTCAAGTTAAATCAAGCTAATAAAAGACACATAATTCTCGAGTTCTTGTTCTTAATTCATCTCTTACGATCCGTTCTCTGAATCGGTTCATTTGGTGGATTTATTGTCCATCATTTTGTATATTTTTTTCTGGATTAATTATGCTGCAGGTGTGAGGATCGATACTTGCTTCGAGAGATTAGAAGTTTTTACATGGATGCTGACCCTACTTCCTCGTACGTACATGCACCTAATAATTCCTTCCCCCCCCTCTATCTCTCTGTGTGTACACACACACACACACACACATATAGTTCATTTATATTACTTTCTTCTTTAGAAAAAATTGAAATCTTATTGTGAGCTAATATTGAAACAATAAGATGGAAATGTCTTCTTAATGCACATATGCAGGTCTGAGGATGAAAGCCGCGACTATATTTATGATGACTACGGTTTGCTATAATAATATTGTCATGATATATCTGACGCTCCGTATGCAAGTTGTTTTTTGGGACGCTCCGCATGCAAGTTGTTTTTTGGGTCTTGATGACGCTCGCTCGCTCTTTGAATCTTATTTATAGCTTCTTCTCTTTTTATTTAAGTAGTATTTTGACCCGTGCCACGCACGGGATGGAACAATATTTCTTTGTTGATTTTAGACTTTTGTATGCAATATTTTTAGGATTTTAAACATAATTTTCAATGCTCCGTAGTCCGTACTATAGAGATGAACTCCAAAGTAGGATTTTAGACTTTTGCATGCAATATTTTTAACATTTCAACAACTTCGAGAGTGGTGTCAATAATGCCCTGTCCTAAAAAAGAATAGCTTTTCATATTTTCCAAAAGGTTCGGATAAGTGAAATTCACTATACTCTTAAGGGATACCTTGGGTTGAGAATCAAGAATTTGATTTTATAATCAGAAAAAACTTGTGTATTTCTATCTACGCAAGAAGACGTAGATGAATGCAATCTAACTTTTTTGTCAATGTAAAAGCTTCACAATACGACTATAATTTTGAAGAATTCACGGTAGCACCTACAATTTCCTCTTTCAAAGCTACGGGAAAAATTGCAAAGATCTAGTGAAAATCACCTCCAAGTGCAATATTTTCCCTCCAAACAGTTCATTTCTAGAGTTTACATCTCTCATCGTGCGATCTTATGTCTGGAAAGCAAATTTATTTATCATACATACTTCATCCCGTATGTTTAGACTCACTTGAACGTGTTCGATTATGCTAGGCAATAACTGATGACGATTCCTCTCCATCTGTACCTGTAATATCCATCATAAGATATTCACTACGAACTTTAATTTGCGTGCAATACAATTTTTTTGATAATGTTCAAATAGTTTTTTCATGAAAGGACACTAAATATTTTTCCATTCATCTGCCCTTATTTTTTTAAAATTCACTAAAAAAATTAAATTACAAATACTTTTATAGAGTGGAAAAATAAATGGTATTTTTTATAATTTACTACAAAAGTTTCCCGCCAAAATGATATAAGGAAAACTGAGAAAATGACACTTAAGATGCTATTTTTAAACGACACAACAATTTTATCGGATAAGTCATTACAATTTTTTAAATTTAAAATTTTTCTTAATTAGATGGAATTATGTTATATTATATTACCTCCGTCCTACTGTCTTTATCCACTTTTGACTTTTCGAACTGTTCATCTAAGCACTTTGACTCATCAAAATCTCTCAATGTGTAAGCCTAAATATAGTCATGCGTGATCTTGTTTGATTTGTCTTAACATATAGATTATTAATATATAATTTCTATAATTTTTTAATATACAAATTACAAGATAAAATGGATTAAAGAAGTGCATTGGATGGTGTGCCAAAAGGTAAGTGGACAAAGACAGTGGGACGGAGGGACTATCATGTTAATAAAATATTTTCACTTCATATTATGTTAAAACTAATTAGAGAGAATTCAAATTTCAAAAAAAAATATTCGTATTAATCACCTCCGAATGCAATAATTTCCCTCCAAATGGTTCATTTCTAGACTTTACATCTCTCATCGTGTGATCTTATGTTTGGAAAGCATATTTAATGGTAATGCATTCCAGTGGTCACTCAAAACAGCTAAGTTAGTGATTTGGGAAAACTAAAATCTTAAAAGACATCGGAAGATGTACATAGGCGACGACAGAAGATGTAGGTGGCGTGGAGGATGGCGACGATGATGGAGTAGATGATGACAGCAACGACGAATCGTAGGGTGAGCATAACGACAAGAAAGGACAACACCGGGAAATGAGTAGGCAACGAAGAAGAAACAACGGAAAAAATTAGACCGCGTAAGAGAGATAGGCTTTCAGTGGTTAATTTTATTCAATCTGTTGAATCGGTTATTAGTAATCATCGATTCAATAGGCTATTAAATTGGTTATTATAATTAACTGACTCAAATTATTAATATCTATTTAACCGGTTATAAGTAATTTTTGGATTTTTTGCATCTTAATAGGAAAAAATGCACCAACTTTGGACATAATTATTAATAGGCCTACTAACGGTTTTAAGGATTAATTAATGGACATGTGTTCTCTTAGAAAAAGATATAAATAAATATTTTGATATATTATACGCCAAAAATGGTAGAAGTGTGAATGGGAAATTGATTCTTAAAATTGACCCGCTAAAATAGAAGAGTATGGTTGATGCAGGCACTTGCATATTTTTATTGAACCAATCTTCTAGTACTTTTATGCAATGTTTAAAATAGTCCATTTTTACGGAGTTAACTAGCCATTAATCTAAAATTATCAAGGACAAAATTTAAACGAAGCGTAGTGTAACAGACGTGTTAATAGCTATCATAAACACATGATTAATAAGAGCCACTAATGACCATCATAAGTGTGCTTTAATATTATGGTAGAGGTTACAATCTTTTCCATGCTAGCCTATTGAAAGAGGAGTTATAACTCTCTCTTTTTGAGACACTCCATATATATATATATATATATATATATATATATATATATATATATATAGATTTTGGTTCAGGTGAGAATGGAATCTAATGAAAGAAATAAGAATGAATCTGGTGCATTAGATTGGGAGATCTAAGGATTAGGATTGCATCAAAATTAGGTGCACTAAGATGGTTTGAAAATGCATCATGTCGAAATGCACCATAATCCTTTCAAAATGCACTATCTCAAAATTTGAGTGCAGAATGCAATCTGAGCCGCACGATGCATCAGATCTAAAGGCCAGATTTTATTCTTATTTCTTTCACCAAGGTGCATTCTCACTTGAACCAGCCCTTATATATATATATATATATATATATATATATATATATATATATATATATATATATATATTACTTTCTTCTTTAGAAAAAAGTGAAATCTTATTGTGAGCTAATATTGAAACAATAAGATGGAAATGTCTTCTTAATGCACATATGCAGGTCTGAGGATGAAAGTCGCGGCTATATTTATGATGACTACGGTTTGCTATAATAATATTGTCATGATATATCTGATGCTCCGCATGCAAGTTGTTTTTTGGGACGCTCCGCATGCAAGTTGTTTTTTGGGTCTTGATGACGCTCGCTCGCTCTTTGAATCTTATTTATCGCTTCTTCTCTTTTTATTTAAGTAGTATTTTGACCCGTGTCACGCACGGGATGGAACAATATTTTTTGTTGATTTTAGACTTTTGTATGCAATATTTTTAGGATTTTAAACATAAATTTCAATGCTCCGTAGTCCGTACTATAGAGATGAATTCCTCCAATTTGTGGCATAATAGACTAGACCAAGTTAATTATGCATCTCTTCGGAAATTAATTAACATGGAATATATCCCAAAGTTTGACATCCACTTGTCACACAAGTGTGAAACGTGTGTCGAAGCAAAGTCAGAACGAAGTTCGTTTCAAACAATTGAACGAACCACTCAGCCACTATATTTGATTCACACAGATCTGTGTGATTTCAAAGCAATGCATTCAATAGGTGGTAAGAAATATGTTATCACTTTTATCGATGAGAGTACGAAATACTACTATATTTATTTACTTAAAAGTAAAGATGAGGCGTTGGACACTTTCATTCGGTATAAGAAAGAAGTTGAGAATCAACTCAATCGCAAAATTAAAGCGATTAGGAGTAATAGTGAAGGGGAGTACGAGGCTCCATTTGCCGAGTTTTGTGCACAACATGGAATTGCGCATCAAGTAACTCCGTCATACACACCTCATTCGAACAGTGTAGCGTAGGGGTGGACACGGTACGGTTCCGGAACCGCTGGTTCCGGTACCGCCACCCCTTGATACCGGTACCGTGACCGGACCGGACGGTACCGGTTCCGGTACCCGGACCAGCAGTTCCGGTACCGGACCGGCCAGTTTCAGCAACCTCCTTTTTTTTGCTTTTTGCTTTAAATTATATGGGAAATTCTTGTTGTGTTTGTTAAACTAAGAAGGATGAAAATATATGTACACGGATAACTACAAGTCAGGTTCCGCATAAGGCAAGAATATAAATTAATTATACTACTACCATATTTACAAAGTGAAAGGCTCAAAATATGCTAAATCAATGGTTTCCTTGTATGCATAGCTTGCCTTCCGTAGATGAATGCTAAGTCAAAGGTTTCCATATATGCATAATTGCATATCCGTCTAAAAAGAAACGTGGAAACGGGTGAATTTCTTTATGGATTAAGCCGAGAAGGAGATCAGAGCAGATTCACTTGTTCCTTCAAACCTGGAGTTCTAAAAAGAGAGGTGGAAACCGAAACAAGCAAAAAAAAATACAAAGGTACCGGAACCGGTACCGGTACCGCCGGTGCCGGTACCAAAATACTGGCACCGGAACCGGTACCGTAGGGGGTGGTGCCGGTACCAATTCCCGGAACCGGTGGTACGTCCCGGATGGCGGTGACGGTGGTCGGTACCGGCGGTACCGTCGCCGGCCACGATACCACACCGGTACCGTGTCCACTCCTAGTGTAGCGGAAAGGAAAAATCGCACTCTTAATGATATGATGAATGCGATGTTAAATAAAATATCGTGAAAGAAACTCGATAACACTCCTTACAAGTTGTGGAATAATAGGAAACCTTCCTATAAATATTGAAAGCGTGGGAGTGCCTTGCAAAAGTTCTAGCACCACCACCAAATTAAATGAAGATTGGTTCGAAGACCATTGACATAATCTTCATTGGCTACAGTGATAGAGCTTATCGATTCTTAGTGTATAAATTTGATAAAAGGTCACCGAACCGATACCGAAAATTCCCGAAAAAACTGAGAATCCCGAACTGAAAAATACCGAACCGAAAAAGTACCGAGAAGGAATCGAACCGTACCGAACCGAATGGTCGGTACGGTATTTGGGAACGGTACGAGGTGACGTCCCATACCAAAAATCCCGAACCGAACATATATACTAAAATATTATAAAAATACTAATACCTCGGAGTAATATTTTTGTATTCTTTCACTAAATAATAATTTTTAAAAAAATTGGTTCATGTTCTATTATGTGTAAATTATACTTTTATTTGGGTTCTAATTTTTGTGTATGAACATAAAAGTATTCGCATAGATTCAAAATACTCCTTTGTTGACGTTCATTTTTTTAGTTTGTGA